ATAAATTAAATCGATAAACTTTTGCTAATCCTTCTAGCCGATCTACATCTAAACGAATTCGGTGACTTCCATAAATCAATCCTAATAATGAAAAGATTCGTTCACAAATAGCCAAACTTGGTATAATAGAAAAAAGTTTAATTGCCAGGCGTTGTAAACAGTTAGGTTTAGCTTCGCAAGTGTTCTACCACATTAATGGTGTATCACTACCAATCGTGTAAGGGGCAATATAAGGATTTGGAACTCCATTTATATATTGTTCTTGTTCTTTATACCAACGCAATTGCATTATTAAAACTTCACAACTCTCCTTATTTTTACCCATTTGCTTCCATAATTTTCCAGCATAACTTGCAATTAAAAGAAACGTCCAAATTTTAATCTGACACCTTTATATGCTGGGTGAAGAAAATATGCAAGTTGATAAGCAGGATCATTAAATTCTTCAAACTGATTTTTAAATTTTTTAATACAATCATTGCGAAATCCTTTATACTCATTAGCCAGAAGATTTTGTATTGCCGCAGCGATTTTTATTAAATTAATATAACAATCAGCAAGTGTAGAACGATTGGCTTCAATGGACAAGATTGCATCCTTAATTGGCAGTAAAACATCTGAAAGATATTGCATATCAGAAAAAAAGCCTCGGCTATGAAGAATTATTAAAATAGCAGGGTTGATAATTTCAGAATGATTTTCTTGAATATCCTCCAAACAAGCTTTAAGTCACACAATTGAAGAAATGCATTCATGTATAGTTGTCCACCTAGTTTCTACATATGTTTTAAGACCACCACCACTAATCTGATATTGTAAAATTTTTTGATTTAAAACAGCTGCGGCTCTATGAGATTTCTTAAAAAATTTTGTTATTTTATTAGCATGCTGGATCATTCTTTCTGCAAATGTATGCTGCATAATATCTTTACTGATTAGATTAAAACAATGTGCAATACATCGAAAATTCATAATATTTTTATACTTAGAACAAATTATACATCGTGCAGTTGCTACGTTAGCCCTATTATCACTAATAATTGCTGAAATTTTATTACTACCAATACGATTAATAATTAATTCAATTTTGCTAGCCAAAAATTCTGCCGTATGAGATTGGCTTGAATAATTTCCAAGTTCATAAAGATACTCTTGCCGTAACGGTGTTATGATAACGAAATTCCAAATTGATAATTCATTAGGGCAGTCTAACCATCGAGACCAACAGTAAGATTAGTAGCATTTTCTATAATTTTATCAACTTTATTAATAACTTTCACTACTTCAATATCTAATAACCATCCAGAGAGAATTTCACGTGATGGAGCTTCATAACCAGGATTAAGAAGTTTTAAAGCATTTACGAAAAAGGGGTTATTAATTATACGAAAAGGAATACCACACATAATAAAAGCTAATATAATAGCTTCATCAATCATTGATTGTTTAGATGTCTCAAGTCTTACAGAATCGAACCAATTAGTTAATTGCTTATCTGCTTTTTTCCCTTTAATCACAGATAAGGTAGAATTTGGCATGCCATAAAGAGGCTCATCAGTTGGGATATCTTCTAAATTATTAACTAAAATATAGTTAAAATGGCGTCGCCACTCCTCAGAAATATTTTTACAGCTATTAGCAAGATGTGCACGTAAAGTATTCGGTTTGGCGCGTGAATAAAATTTTTCACAGAATTTACAGGTTCCTTCCCAATGGCCATCGCCTTTGGATTCACCCCTTTCAAACCACTTCCAAACTCCCGTTAATGGGCGTCCTGACTTTGAATTACTTGAAT